CCTTAATATCTTGAATTGGGATCCTCCCCTTCATTTCGGTCCTTCATTCCCTCCTTGCAGGGCCTTCGGGCCCACTTTGAAGCCCAATTTTGATAATTCGAGCCGTTCATATTTTTAGATTTATTCAGTATATCATACCTGTAAAAAATCAAGTTGATCGAATATCATAAAGTATGTGTTCGGAAAATTGTTTATTAAAAAATAGTTTGTAGTCCTAATTTTCTAAACGCATACTTTCTGATATCCGATCAATTTGATTTTTTACAGGTATAATATACTGAATAAATCTAAAAATATGAACGATTTAGATTATCAAAACTGGGCCTCAAAATGGACCCGAAAACCCCTACAAGGAGGGAATAAAGGAGAGGGCTCAAGGAGGGGATCTGGACTCATCTATCTTACCCATCCCCTCTCGTAATATTGGTTTATTAAGAGTTGTGCTTATCAGAATGATGCCCATCCACTCAGCTTGTTGGTAACTGTGCTATCAGAACGAGTTTAAGTCATAATAACTTGGTCCGAAATTGTGTGCCGTTTTGGGAAGAGCACAAAAACGTGTTGTTGCGGAAAAAAGCTGACCCAACTAAAAAAGCAATTGTTACATTTGAGATGCGATAAAAATGTTGCCGTGTCAAATTACGTAAATACCCTCTAAGTTTACACAAGAAAAATATTTGAGAGCTTTAATTTGGGAGCTCTAAAAGAGTTCTAGAGAGTGGGTCTCACTTACTGATGTGATGTTTTGACTTTAAGTTTTTTTTTTTTTGAATTTCCACCTCATTAGTGGTCAATTAGTGTTCCCAAATTAGTGGGATGAATCATTGTTATTGTGTAAAATTTCAAAGTTTGGCAAGAGTATTTTGGTCATTTTACTTTGATTTAACACCATAAATAAATATTAACAAAAAAAAGTCAAAACTCAATTTTTTACCAATTTCCCAAATCATTTTCTAAAAAAGTCAAAAAACTTAGTAAAAAATCAAAAGTCAACTTTTTATCAACTTCTTAAAACACTTGTATACAATTTTTATATGAATATTATTTTTATTTTTATTTTTAAAGGGATAATTAAATGGTCTCTAGTTTAATTGTGGTAAGAATTTTGAAACTCTTGGGAAGATTAAAAAAACACACACTAAACAATAGCTACAATATTACTACTTTAGTATATTTTATTATGAACTTTGAAAATGGACACACAACTCATTAATTTTTGGAGATTCTTTAAAAAATAAATAAATTAGAACTCGATTATGTTTTTATACTGTGTAACTATCAAATCCATAAGTCTTCGAAGTATAGAATATTAAGAGATTAATAACTTACAAGTAATGAACATAGGTAACCAGTTGGATTGTCTCATATGTATCCGAATCTTAAAAGATAGATTAATGGTTCTTAATTATACTCATGCTTGAGTTCATCATATTTAAGCATGATAATTATTATGGATTAAATTTTTTTCAAGTTTAAATTTGAACTTGATTGAACTTGAGAGGCTTGTAGGATTCATTACGAGTTCCATTTTAATAATTTAAACTATCTATTTTGTAAGATTTTTAGTATATATTAGGGAGATTTATTAGAAAATTCTTTTTCAAGTGTTTGTATTCCAATTAATCTATTAGATATTCTTGTATTCTAATAAGTCTTATTAGTTAAACATTTGATCTACTAAATCTTAATTCTTATATTTAAAGTATTTTATGAACATTTTTACCCTTACAAATATTTTTTGAACGGTTAGCAATTTGGTAATGTGAACATTCATATTTTACAATGTGAATATTCACATTGACGTGTTAACATTTACATTGACGGTGTGAATATTCACATCATGGAACATTCATACTGTAAATGTGAATATTATTAGGGGTATTTTGGTAACTATGTCACTCATAGGACTTACTAGAATATAAAAAAATAATGTGGACTAAATAGAATATAAGTAGGTAAAAAGAGATTTATGAAAAAGTGTACCCATATATTATTTATAAAAAAAAAATTAAATCGATTTAATAATTATATTTTTATTTTATTTTATTTTATCACGTTTATTTAAAAAAAATAAACTATAAGTATCTTTTTGAAATTAAATTATTTATTTTCTTGAAAGACAAACATACAGTAACAAAGATTATTAGCAAGGGCAAAAAACTAAAAGAAAAGTAGGGATTGGATCACAAACAAATAAATAAATAAAAAAACTTAAAAAAAAAAAAAGAAGAAGAAGAAGAAGAAAGAGGTGCTCTCGACAAAAAGGGTTCAACACATCTTGCAAAAAAGGAAATTGATATAAAGAGGGAGTCTGACAAATCTTACAAAATCGACAAAACTCCATGAAACCAACTGTTTGGATCTAGGAGTCATGAAATGGACTTCATTCATCGGTGACAATGACAAATAGACTGGATCTAGGGCGGAGAATGAGGAGTGGTGAGTGTAGTAGAGTGCAATTTTGGTGAAGGTTAATAGGGGAGATAAAAGAGAAGAAGAAGAAAGAGAAGGTGGTAGTAGCTAGTGTGGTGGGGTGCGCTAGACGTAGAGGTGGTGAGGATGATGTGGTTCAATCTTTTTTCTCCATTAGGCAATATAGTAGAGCTATCAAATGGTTAGAATTGAAACCAATTTAAAACTTTAAGGTACCAATTTAAAACTTTAAGGTTTCAATTTAAAATATAAAGGGTAAATTATAATACGTCCCTTGAAATTTGCTTAAAATACGATTTGTCTCCTGTGATTTTAAAAATTATATTCCACGATTTGAAATTTTTAATTTCATAATAAATGACTCATTTTATTAATAAATTATCAAATTAATTAACATTTTTGAGTAATGTCAGAAATTTATTTTAATTAATAATTTGGGTAATTTTATCATTGTATAAGAGAGAAATTAAGAATTTTTTTTTTCATTTAATTCTGTTAAATAAAAAATTCTTACAATAGAATATTTATAATTTTTTAAATTATATGGGACAATTCATATTTTACCGTTATCTAAATTATAAAATTTAATTTGTTATATGGCTCAAGTCTTAATTTAAAAAAATAAAAATAAAAATAAAAATAAAATTATCATAATATGCATTAATACTCTCAACCAATAAAACCGTATAAAAATATAATAAATGAGGGTGTTGTTTGGCAAGTTAGTTTGTGGCTAAAATAGCCACAAAAGACAAAATAAGTTATTTTAGCCACAATAAAAAAAACATGACATCCAACTTATAATCATTACACTCTTCTCTCATAAAAAAATTCAAAAAAGCCAAAAAGTCAAAAAACCCTTCCCAAACCAAACTTTTGAACCCAGGCTCAAATAACCAAAAAAGCCAAAAAATCAAAAAGCCAACCCACTTCCCAAACGGAGGCAA